ATCTATGAAATGAATGTGCTGCATTTTTAATTAAACGTCCAGAAATTGATATTGAAATAATCGATAATGTCGGTACTTTCAATCATTTCCAGGCATTAATAGTTATACTATTTTACCGACAGGACCAACAGTTGTTGATAATATGTAATCCGTACTATAGATGAACTAGATTTCTAATTATCTACTGATAGCAATCCAAACTATATGCACCGACGAGATGAAATCTTTAGTCTTATGAAATTTAGCAGGAAACTTCACTATTTAATAACCTCCTGTCGGTAAATTTGTCACATCAGCATACATGATAACTGCAAAAATGCAGTTTTATAGAAATATCTATATTTCATTGTTGATCTGCGTATGTGCAGACAGTGATAAAACATCGAGTTAGTTGTAAATTATAAAATTAATACTTCATTACGTACTAATGTCCAGGTATTCCTATTGTATTATTAAGCATGATGATAATATCATCCTCCTTCAATTACCTCAAGGCCTCCAAATTATTCTTAGGAATGTTGGTGTATGAAAAATAGTAAATAGAATAGGTAAATAAATAGAATAGGTATAGTAAATAGAATAGGTAACAGAATTTGTTGCTTATCAATCCTTAGTGGAATATATTCTAGACAAAATAGATTTTGGAAAAACAGCTTAGGCAGCAAATATCAGTACTGTTTTAACATTGTTCTTTGGCAAAATGAAGGAGAAGAAATTGCTTCACTTGTTTATTAGAACAATATCTTGGAAAATTCTTATGGAAATGTGCAGTTTTATCTGTATAATCTTATTATTAATTATAATAGTGATTATTACAACTTATAAATCTTATATTAATATATTAATACTGACGCAAGCCTCCACGTCTTATCGCTGGTTGCATCATTCTGTTAGGTGGTGTTATTGATATATCTAAGTAATCGCCAATTGTGAACCTATAATCATATTTTTAAGAAGTATACATACATTTAATCATTTGAAAATGTTTACAATATATAAATATAATAGTAAATCGCCTTTTCTTGCTACTTAAATTTAGTTACGTACCTGGCTTGTGCAAGAGTCTTGTTATCATCGGCACCTTTTTGACCAGAGCATGTAACACCAATCTCACGCATACGATAGCCAGAATTACGTAACTCAGGAGTTACTAGCGAGAAGTCAAAGTATGTTCCTTTGCTACGAGCATCTGGGTTAACTTCTTTAACTAATCCTGTAATTTCTCGCAAGGTAGCATCCATCCTACGTATAAAAGCAAACCTATCAGTGACAATCTCCAAGTGATTTGAAACTGATTAACAAAATAGCAATATAATTGAAATCTCACATTTTCATATGTTATGTATATATTATTATTACCATGTGTAGATCTGTAATTCATTCGAAGGAACATTTCCTCTGCTGTATTCCATTATGTTATGATGACGTCCAGTGTTGCAAAAGACACGTAATAAAAGCGGACATGTCTAAAATACCAATAAATATAATACTTATACACACTTGTAGTTGTCAAAATACACATAAATCTACAAGACTTCTAAAAAGGATATTTCTAAACAAAATACTCATATGCTTATGTCGTACATACTTTCTCCCTGTCTACCGGCTTTTCAGGAAGTTGTTTCTCATCGACCACCATAGATTCCAATGCAGAAGTCATCTCAACTACTGTGTAACCAAATATGTCTAACAAAATATTACGTAGTACTATTTCTTGTCGAAGATATTAAATTTGTGATTATTCGTCTCCGAGGAAACTTTAGACAAATGGCGGTAACGCACAGACTTTAGTTCGGTTAGGTTATTTCCAGAGCTGTTTATCCATTCATCAGTTGTATAGCTGACGAACCCAAACGCCAGCTGGTGAACAATTAAGTAACTCACATCTGTATTCTCTAGGAGTGTCCCTAGCTGTTAGAGGCCGGTATTAGGTGTGTTCGTGTTGTTTGCACCTTTGACATTTTTACATAAGACGCAAAAGTGTCAAAATAACGCGAACGAACCTATTTATAGTCGAATCTTATATTTAAAGCGGGATCTACAATTTAATAGAATTTAAAGTAAATTATAAGATTATAATATAAAGAAAATAGAATTTAAGCTCCAGCCCTTAAGGCTTAAAGTATCTATTGTAAACTAGGACTAAAGCCAGTGGCACACGATGCTGTGTTTTCATGCCGGATTGCTTGCTGGATGGAAATATTACGTTCTGATTGGTCAATCAGAATGCAGTATTTCCAATCCAGCAAGCAATTCAGCACGAAAACAAGTATCGTGTGCTGCTAATTTTAGTGAAATCATGTATCGAATTATATATAGTAAAATCCAAAGTTCAAAGTTGATACATCCCAGATAACAACACATGTCAGTTTCATTCAGTACATTCTTTAAACATAAATAACGTTTCATACGATAACGCGTATGATTTTTACTATTGTAAGTTTTTTTCTTATTGATCCTTGCAAGGGCTTTGTGTAATATCTTATAATTATCTTTTTAATAAATGAGAGTTTCAGATTATGGCCTTGAATATTTTCGAATGTTCGAAGTTTTTCATTCGTTCGAGAGAATTTCACAACATCGTTTGAGAGAACATCACATACAAAACGTTGGTAAGAAAAAGGTTGTCATAAAAACGTCAAAAGGTTGTCATAAAAACGCCATCGTTTTTCACATCCATTCGTTCCGTCGCTATACAAATTCTCTTCAGTTTACACGTACATCATGTCTCTTACATTCTTTCTTTTCGCTCGACATTATTTATAGATTACGATTATCGTTTATCGGTCGATTTAAAGAAAGAAGTGGATGTTTAATAGAGCGTGAAGATTAATGGTGGGTTTAATTCTTAAAATGTGGAAAATCGCATGTATATGTGCGCATATATGCGCGCGGTTATTATCTGAATGAATAGGGGAAAGCTTGTTTACTTTGCCGTTTTTAGTCTGCGTATCCTTTATCGCAACGAAATACACTGTATGTATGAATAAATTGTAATGAGACAGTCGATTATTGTACAGCATAAACAAAAGTCCATTGATAGAAGTTATATATATATCGACATAATGTTGCAAAAGAAAGTTTTTGCCGGTAAATTTCGAAGTATCTATTTGAGATCGAACGAAAACTGAAATCTACTCTTTGCATTTTCGTGATGTCCGTTTTTTGAGAGGTACGGTAACGCTTTAAGTAACATTTAAGTGATTGATAACAAACGTCAATTTCCACGAAGAACAATCACGCCGCGGCGAGATTGCGAATGGACGTTCGTGTGTGTGTAGATGGAACGTAAATGATGCATGCGACTTATCGTATTGTTTTTTGCGATTTTTATATGCGGTAAAAGACGAATGAGCGTGTCAATGGCGTCCGCGTTAACAGCGCGTTTAAAGTGTGGTACATTTGCATTAATAATATGCATATTAATGACGTCACACGACGAAACACTTATCGTGCTAAATGCGATTGCGCTCTTAGACGCTGACGTACGAAGACAAGTCAGTGAGACATTTTCCATTTCCGGCTACAGCATTTTCGGATCAAACGCATCACATCTTGATACCCGCATATCATGACACATCGTATCTGACAACTTAATAATGGTTTGATAGGGGAATGTGAGATAGGGGAATGTGTTAAATGCAAGATTGAGCGATGAATAACAAATTATATAAAGTCCCTCTAAGTTTGCCGTTAGGAAGGGCGCTAATGTCGGGTATTTCAATCAACAATAGTAACGTGGGAATTTACTACCTGAAAATAAAAAGAAACCTTAAGAAAAAGGGCTAACTACATCTGTCCATTGTGCATGCGTAGATTTTGTATCCCCTCCTGCTTTAACTTTCTCTTCCCTTCTTGCTGACGCCAAGCGTCACAGTCAGTTTAGTCTACGACTGACATGCGTCGACGGTGTTTCGTTCGTGCGTCGTATACGGAATAAACATTGATCTCATAAAAGCTATCTTCCGGATTATTTGAATAAGAAATTTGCAGACAGTGAAATCGTTTCTACGCAGATGACTGCGATCACAGTGAAGTCTTACGTTGAGAGAGCTGCGAGTCCAGGGATCGTGCGAAGTAGCGATTACCCGCTTTTGATTGCGAGCAAAACCGATTACGCGCATAACCCTTATCGCCACATGTGTACTTTTGATGTCTCGACTGTATTGTAAACAACAGCAACTGGTGAATATAAGAGTAAGCAGGAAACGAAATAAGCGTATCATGGATCTATTTGTAACTAAAATAACGTTTGTGAAAACAATATTCTCAAATAATGCGGGTATCACTGAGAAATCTAGTGGCTTATTCTTTATAGCTGCATTTCTAGGTTGTCTTGTAAACTTTCTATTTTTTTTTGTCTGTGTTCACTGAGTGCACGTGCACGTGCTTTTACTTTAAGTACTTAAGAAAATACAACGTGCAGCGTGCTGTAAAAAAGTAATTTTCAAGGAAGTTCCTGGGAAGTTTCTGGTACGGATGGCAGATGTATCCAGTGAATCTATCAGATTAATTTCAGATATTCTGAAAAAACTAATAGTAGCTTCTAAAATATCTCAAGATATCGTGTACGACAGAATGTGTTAAGAATAGTATTCGTATATCTTACAGAAAAAAATCTGAAAATGAATGACAGATTAGCCACGTGCTTTTACAATTCAGTATTAAAAAAAAGTAAATTATATAAAATTTATAATATCTTTAAATATAAGATTTTGCGTCTTCATTTAATATATTTCTTAGGTTTTTACTTTAACTACAATGCAAAGATTAAAGATTATATACATTTACACCCGCAATACTGGCTCTCAATGGTCGATTTATCATATGCTGATTTGAGTATTCTAAGAGTCATATAAAAATGTTAATTATGTATAAACTTAGCACTTTTTTTTTTAATTATAATTTTTTCAGAAAATCATTACAAATCTCTCTTAATTTAATTCTCTTCTCCCGTAGAATTGGTTGACGATAGAACAATTTAGTTGTCATATTTAAATTCAACAACGTAAATATTGATAATCACCTTGAATTCTAATAAAAACCACAAATATTTTTTTACCGACTGATGTAATTGGTTTTGTTGACGAGCAATGTTGTATATATAGGATGCACTATTCTTAGACATGATTCAGATTTAGCATACATCAAACTTGTGTTTATGTAAGGTTCTTATGATGAAAATTAGATGTTAGATGATAGATAAATAATTCGAGCTAAGATGCAAGTATTTATGCGGGAAACAATATTTTTATACACAAATAAGAGTGCAATCAAATATCTGAGTATATATGTCATAATCGAGTACGTGATTAGTGTACACAGTACCTTAGAAAAACAAGCAACAAAAGCAACTGTGGAAATCAGGATACAGATGGAGGATGAGTGTTGCCCAAATATTAAATTTTTGACCCCAAGTATTGGACTATCCTGTTATTAATTTCAAGTAGTACTTCAAGTATGGTATATCTGTATAGATGTGTCATTGGCTGCTAAGCTACTTTTTCTGCTGAACGCAGTCATTGTATTATCGATGAGGATGATGGATTAGTGCACGATCCCCGTAAATCCACCTGACTAGATAACTTAAAACATATTTATCTTCTGATCTTATTAGCCGAAAGTAAATGTGCAGATGATACCTTGAATATTGTATATTTGACACAACGTGTTCAATGAATCTTCACAATACACTCATGTTCTCAGAGTTTATTTACATAAGTCTTTTTTTTTGCGTTATTTTGCATTCACAATTTTGCTAATTGTGGTTTCTTGTTGCTAGGTTGCGACTATTTCGTGGGACATATAGGCATAACTAGTAGAAGATAGGAAAAATGGCAAGCAAATTACCAAAGGAGTTCAAAAAGTATTATCGAAACAAGAATCAGCTCCAGCATGTTCTTGAGGAGACGCAACATGCCATGGAAGCTATAAATCTTGAAAATTTCTTCCCAGGAGGTAATTATCTATCATACATCAAATAAAATTATATATATATGAAAGAGAGAAAATTAATAAATTATTCGCTGTCACATGTCAATGAACTTTACTTATTCATATGTTTGTTGCAGAAGATATCATCAGAGAATTACTGCCGCCATTGGCTTTGAATAAAGTGACATACATACTCGATAATTTCCCTGCGATAGTCGTCTTGGGACAAGATAACAAAGCCAAAGCTTCACTGGTTAACAAGCTATTCTCCGCTGATATCTTGCCATTGTCCAATGGTTCGTGGAGATGGGTCAAACTCACATATGGACACACCAATCATGTCAGTCTCACGTTAAGTTTAGAATTTGAAGTAATCGAGAAACTGCAAGCAAATGAGAAACCCTGGAGCACACTTCCCATCGAAGATCTAACGAAGTCAGGAAGCGAGGATGTCAACTGTCCGACGATACTGGACGTTAAGTTAGACCAAGCGATTCTAAAAGATGACGTCCAGATATTTATCGTTCCAAACAGTGATGCCATAAAGGTTCTTGCTAAGGGCTCACTGCGAATTTTACCTATATTTCTTTACGCTCTTGGAGAGCAACCGTTGACTGAGGAAAATTTGGAAGAATTGCGAGAATTGAAGGAAACTTATCCGTGTTATCCAGTTTTGTTTATATCGTCATTAACAAATATCTCGTTGGATTCTTTCTTAGACGCGGAATTAACTGAATCTGAGCAGCACAGTTTGCAAAACCGAAGGTTGGTGTCAACCGATCCTAGCGAGCCGAAGAGTGACAACAGTATTAGCATTGACAAAATGAATTCGCTCGGTCTGAAATGGCTAGATCAATTAACGAACTTAGGATTCCTCGGTATGGACGAGTCTGTAGATGTTCACAAATTAACGTGGCTTGTCGGCGATCAGTATGTTAACTCGAGCCATCTAGTGGATTCATGCAACAAAATGGACCACATATTCTCTTTTACTCGTAACTGTTTGCAAAACTATCTCTTTAGTGTCGGCAGTCGGTTGAGCGAGATACACACGATCAGCTTACGCAAATTTATTCTGAGCGCATTTGATATGGCACGTAAGATACAGATTACCCCTAGGAGAATACAATATGCTCGACAAAAGGAGAACGAACTTTACGCCAACCTGATGAAAGTTGTTAACGAACAGCAGGAAGCATTGTCCGAGTTGATACAAGTTAACATTGAAGAGATGAAGAATGATTTATTGGTGTCTACCAATGATATTTCCCAGTGTGAAACCACAGTCAGTGATGATGAACGAATAGAATGGACAACTACTGTTCGTGTCGCAACGTCGGAAGTTCAGCGATACGTGTTAGGGCACTTGGGCAAGAAAGTCGCTAAGGAGCTCGTAGACTCGATCAACTGTCTTCGGGAAACGTTCATCGGGACTCTTGAACGTTGCCTGATAAGTCTGGAAAAGAGTTATGAACATGACAATAACCCACTAGCTAGTGACGCATTGAAACAAATACTCTCTACTGCGTACAACATAGAATTGCGCAATTCATCGCCGTCCTTTGTGCATTCATTCTTGGAGAGGTTGAGACAACTTTTCAAGTCTCTGCCATTACCATGGGCACCGACCCCGACTTTGGACATGGCCTGGAGGAAGAAGGTCACCGTAGACGTCTTGAATTCATTGTCGGCGGCGCGATTGGCGAGGACAATATCCACGCAGTTCAAGGAAAAGCTGAAATCATCGCACGACACCTTTCAGGATGCTATGGACTCCCTGGAGAATTATTACTCGGGAAATCTGGAGAGGACAGAGGAGCAGAGGGTGGCTATACGAAAGTATCACGCACCTAAACTGGCGAAGCTCGCGTTGGAATCCATGTCCATGATGGATACGGTGCGCTTCGGGGTCCCACAGTGCGGCAAGGAGATCGGAAGGGGACAATACGGAGTGGTATACTCGTGCGATGGTTGGGGTGGAGCCCCAGGCCTGTGCGCAATCAAATCGGTCGTACCGCCGGACGAAAGGCACTGGAACGATCTTGCGATGGAAGTTTACTATACCAGGTCGATACCGGATCACAAGAGGATAGTGAAACTTCGTGGATCGATCATAGATCTGTCGTACGGCGGAGGATTCGGATCAGGAGCTGTCCTGTTGATCTCCGATCGACTAAGTCGCGATTTGTACTGTGGCTTACGCGCTGGTCTCTCGTGGCTGGAACGCATACAAATAGCGATAGACGTGTTGGAAGCGATACGCTATCTCCATTCACAGGGTCTGGTGCATCGAGATATCAAGCTGAAGAACGTCTTGCTCGATATGGAAAACAGGGCTAAACTGACGGATCTTGGATTTTGTATCACGGAAGCTATGATGTCTGGAAGTATCGTGGGAACGCCTATCCATATGGCGCCAGAGCTTCTGTCTGGCCATTACGACAGCAGCGTCGACGTGTATGCCTTTGGGATCCTGTTTTGGTACATATGTACCGGCAATGTCCGTTTACCATATGCATTTGAACAGTTTCACAACAAAGAGCAATTATGGATAAGCGTACGGAAAGGTAAGATACTCCGATTCTCTGTTACATGCAGATTAGTATTAAGGAAAATACGTTTGTTCATTGATACAAAATGTAAACTGTAATGTACACAATGCCTTTTGTCTTGGGGAAGCAAATAGTCGGAAGTTATTTGGGATGAAAATTACCATTTACTTTTTACTGTTTGGCCTCCAACGTTATAATTCGATAACCGGCCAATACGAGAAAATAAAAGCCTTAATTGTTCATCTTAGGTATCAGACCTGAAAGACTGTCACTTTTCGATGAGGAATGTTGGACACTGATGGAGCAATGTTGGTCCGGGGAGCCGTCTAAACGCCCACTGCTCGGTGCAATTCAACCAGTTTTAGAGTCTATACAGCAAAAAGCGGAAAGAGGCAAGTCCTTACAACAACAAAGCGACTCGCTGAAGCTAGAAGATACAGAGTCATCATCCGAACCAACAAATCCTGCGCTAGCATTAGCAGAGCCTAATAACCAAAGAGGCGCTGCATTTAGTCTGCTTTTTCCTAGGGTTTACAGGGGTACCGGAACTCTCATACCCGTTTGTCACCCGCCCAGACATTTCGCCTATCCTAACACGTTCGTTCCTCCTCTCTTCATGATTTAGATATGTCAGAGATATCAGATGAATCAAGCTTTGTACTGTTAATGCAATGTGAAACACAGTTAAATACTGTTATATTTATTGCTTTGAAGTGCGCTTGAAATACGACTCATTGTTCTTGGCCCCATTCTTGCTCGACGACATTCATATTAGTATTTCATAACGCAGTATTAAAGTGACAAACTTTATGTGTGTTTGAATTTGCATCTTCTTTTTTGCGGAATTGTTAAGATCTGCTTTCCTTTTTTTTTTTTATAAATATAGTTTTATTTTTTTAATAAATATAGACAGTCGATACATGTAAGGTAATATATAGTTTATTAGTATGAAAAGATCGCGCCAATTTTATTAATCCAGACGTGATATTGATGGTAAATCTCAGGCTCATCGTATAAAGTTTTTACGCAAGTTTTACAATGGATATACGAGTATTTGATAATATAAATACTTTTATCTCTAATTATATGTATATTAATTGCGTTAAATTTTTATTTAGATACATAGATATTTATTTTGTTAATAAGCATACCTTAACTATTAAATTATTTGTCATCCGATATGATTAACTGTATAATTATCTCGATCGAGAAATATGGATAGTTAAATATGAAATGTATCTGGTTGAAAGAATAAATAAAGTTTCTCACTTTTATATATACTGTCGGCACAATATAATTTGAAACGCTGAAAATATATATACAAATCGTATAATGTGCGAATTCTGAGAAAAATTCAAATCACTCCAAAATACAATGCCTATTGGTATATGAATTTGGTTTGTGCTAGTACGATATGGTAAAATTAAGAAATAAATACAT